AGTCATATGATGTCGAGCTGAAATGGCATGATATCATGTGATAATTAATGTGCTACATAATAAACGAAAATTAATATTATTAGAAATGATCTACTTAGGTGTCACAATTCTAGCATGACTCTAGCGCGACTCTAGCGCGACTGTAGCGCGACTGTATCATGAGTATATTATTTTATATATAAACATATAGGAAAAAATCTAGCGTGACTGTAGCATGACTCTAGCAAGACTGCAACACACTTATTTTTTTTTAGATAACTGCGCCACGTTACTGCGCCCTTGTGACCGCGGGTCATATACATTCATACAAAAATAATAAAGATTTATATTCTAGCTTTTTTTTGAAAAAAGTATATGTGTACGATTTTTGTTCGAATTCTAAGAATTCCAAGATTTCCAAGAATATTTTAATTCTCAGAATATATATATTATAAAAATTATGAATTTCCACGAATATTATTCAGAACTTCTCAAGAAATTACCACCTTCCATAAAAAAGAATATATGGAATCGACTTACTTCTAGAGTACATAATCCATTGACAGAAGAACAAGCAAGTAGTATTAATCCTGATATTGAGGCATTATTGATTAGTGAGATTGATAAATATGAAAAGAAAAAAAAACGATATCGAATCAGCTCTTCTATACAAAATACAGAAATATCTCAAACTGTTATCTCTGCTAATACACAAGTAACTGATATGTGCCCTGGCACCAGCTCTGCTGTTGAGGAGGAGATTAATGCTCGAGTCAAAGAAGCTACAGATAAAATGCATCAAAGGTTTATTGAAACTACACAGGAAACATTAAATTCTATTAAGCAACAGAAAGATGCAGAGTGTAAGAAAATAAAGCTGGATATGGCTAATAGAGGTAAAGATTTATTTGAGTCTACATTAAAAAAATTTATTCGAGATGGAACTATATATTATCTCATTCATGATTTGGAAGAGAAAGATGGTAAATCATATTCTGATATATCTCGGAAAAATTGATTTGTATACTCTTTCCAAAGGTCAGTATGTGTCTTAGGTTGGAAAGGATCTATTTTTTTTTTATGCCTATTCTGGAAGAATGAACTTCGTTCTGGCATGAGCTCTGCTCTTGATCCAAAACATCTTCTGCAAAATGTACTTCGAGTGGGGATTTTACATTTTCACTATTTTCGATTTTTTTCACTGAAATAGGTACAGAGATAGTATTACCATGAGAAGAAACATCCATTTCGAGTTTATCATAATCTGCTTTTGCCTTAGAACGACGAATCCATGGGGTGCCACCTATTGCAAAGGGAATATCAGAGTCAATAACATAGAAATTATCTGTTATAGAAACAGTGGGTTTATTACCTAATGTCACTGGTACATTATCACACCAGCCAATGGCTTTAATCGAAGTTTTTTTATCTGCCAATCTTATTTTTCTATCATTCTTTCGTGTTGGTTTCCATCCTAATATATTAAGAAGTGCAGTTGAGAACATCGATGAATTAGATCCAGTATCTAAAATAAAGTCTAGAATTGTAATACCCCCTATTACACATTTCACTGTTATATAGCTTTCTTTTGTTTCACCTGATGGAAGAGGTAGATTTTCATGTGTCTTTGACACGGAGCTCTGCTCCTCATCAGGCAATAAGGCATGATTTATTTGAGGTATTTCCGATTTATTGATGGCCTTTATTGTAGAAGGTGCTATGGTCTTCCTAAGTTCAATGCCAACTGCTGGGGATAACATTTGGAGTAGATCAATAATCGGAATTTGAGTGGTAGTACTTGACAGAACCTTACCTGCTAGATAACTAATTTTATTTTTCTTTGCAATTCGTTCTCCATCAGTGATGATTTTGCGAGGCTTTTGTTGATTATTTACAAGTTTTTTTTTTCATCATCCATGATTTCGGCATTGTGTACATATACCTCTTCTGCTTCTGCTTCTGATTCCCTGGCAATATCCTCATATTCTTCATATTCTTCATCTTCATATTCTTCATCCTCAGAATTTGGTGGATCTAAATATGCATTATGGACAGATGGTATAGATTGCGGTGTGGAAATATGAAATTCTTCAAGCTTTTTTCTAGCCTCTTCCAACTCATTTTCTAATTGGGTTTTAGTCTTGCCCCTAGGTTTACGAATAACAGGCGGTTTTACATTATCATTTTTTGGAGTTGCAGGTGGTTTTTTTCGATTAGCAGAAGCAGGGATATAATTTTGCCGTGCTTTAAAGAATTCATCAATATCAGAATAACCCAAGTCATGTATAAATTTTAGCTGATAATAAGCTTCGATTTCTTTATCATCTTTAGGTGGAAGTTTGGGTGGGACTTTTCTTTCCCTAACTGGAGCAATTGGATTTCCATCTGCATCAACAGAAAATGTACTGGTTCCAACAGCCTTGGGGCGACGTGGACGAGTAGTTGGTTTAGGGGGTTGAATTACTTGAGATTGTACTGGAGCTTGATAACTAGGTTGTTGAACCGGAGCTTGATAACTATTCAGATTTTGCGGTTGATAAATATTCTGACCTTGTTGTATACTCATGGTAAATGTTTCAAGTTCTGTTAAGTCTCTTATTTGCTCATCCCATGACTTAAAGAATAAACCACCTTGACGGATATTGTATTGATTAAAAGGATTTAATCCTCGTTGCCATTGCTCTTTTTGTTGAGCAGTTGACATTTTTGCAAGTCTTCCATATTTTCGAATATCTGCTGTAAATTGAGGTACAGATTTATTTCCTTGCATAATCTGACCAAACATAACCATATTTTTTTGTACCACAACATTGGGGGAATGATTTTTGAGTAAATATAATTTTTGTCCTATCGTAATTCCTGGGGCTACAATTGGATTACCAGTACCAGCATTTGGAGCTACAACTGCTGTACCAATGGGTGCTGGATGTCCACCGGCTATTGACCAATCTTCATCCCATGTACCTATCGGAATAATAGAAGCACCAGTTGCTCCAGCTTGTCCATGCATATTTAAAGCTTCATTTAAGAATTGGTTAGCATTGATACCAGTTAGGGTTCCATTATTAATTGCTTGAAGGGCAGTTAAGCTAGCTAAACCTGTACCATCTAGAACATTATCAAGCATCCAGTTTCGGTTTTTTACATTGTTTTCATACCAAATTTTTATATCACCTAATAAGCAAGATTCAAATAATCCATCTAATTCTGCTCTACCACCAGCTTGACCAGCACCATGTGCAACATTTATTCGAGATGCAACTGTATATCTACGTAAATCATTGCAAAATTCTTCTGGATCTTCACCAGGTGCTCCACTGTAAGTTGGGGGACCATATCCTAATACCATTGTTGATATATGATTGGGTTGATTTATATTCTGTAAATTTAAAATATTCTGGTTCAAATTCAAAATTATTTGCTCATTATTTTGGGATCGATTTTTCCATTTCCCCCATTTGTTATCGAGCTGAATATCACTAAGGAGTAAATCATTCTGGCATGTATCCAGTTCTTGTTGTAAGCCTCTACAATGATTTTGAGATTCCTGTAATCGCTGTTTATAATTGCGTACTAATAATTGGGTAGCAAATTTTTCACGCAATAGCTCAACAACCCGCCTATGCTTTTTATTGTATAAGGATTGCACTCTGCGACGTGCTTGCTTTTCATTATGATAAACTCTAGTCATCAAACTCAGATCTTCATCAGCTATGCGTGCCCTTGCATTTAATCTTATAATAGTTTGGGCATCTTGATTGATTTGGGCTTGGGCTCGATTTGCCCTATTGGTCTCCCAGTTGGAAATTTCTTGAAGCCTTTTTACAGCATTTTTTATATCATCAAATTCGCGATCAATAATACCTCTTGGGATTGTAGATGCAGGAGTTCTCTGGAATATACTATTGATATTATTGAATGTATTGCGAACGGATTCTGTAATTGTTTGTGCCTCACCAGGGACAGGTGCTCGAATTTGTTGTGCCATATCTGAAATATGTGTCTCAACAATAGTTCTGTTATTATATTTATAGGAATTTAGTTCTCGAATTCTATTTTTGAGTTTTTCTACTTCGATTTCTAGATTAGAGATCTGTAACTCCTGATTGGATATAAAACTCTCCTTTTGCTCAGAAACTTTCAAGGCTTTTCGAAGTTTCTTTTGCAAATCAGATATTTGATATTTGAGTTCCTGTATCTCTACCTCATGAGCTATAATAGTATTATCCTGGAATGAGATATTTTTATGGCAACTCTCAACCTCTTTTATAAGTACACGAATTTTTTTCTCATTTCCCTGATTTATATCTACTTCCTTACCTAACTCCTTACGCAACTCCTGATTGGTGTTCAGTAATTGTAGATATGCTGGATCAAAATGGAAATCCATAATTTATTTTAATATTATAATTTATAATACTTGATATCTGATAATGGGTCTATTTTGTGGTGTCGCCGAATTGGTTCCTATAATTGAAATAGATCCTGCTGTTGAACGTAATATTATTCTGCGTGATCTTTACTATAAACCTGGTGGGTATCATAAAAATATTAGAAATTTATTGATTGATGTTAAGAAAGAGGGGCACAATTTTAAGATTCGGGATATTCGTGATTGGTTACATAAACAAGCTATCTGGCAAGTTTACGCACCTTCTCCGAAATATATTCCACATGCTAGCTTTAGTAATGTTACTGTGCCAAATAAACTTCATCAATGGGATTTACTCATCATCCCTCCGGAAATATCTGGTCTTGAAATTTACCTTTATTTACAGACTGTAAAAGATGTGGCATCTCGCTATGGGTGGGCAGTTTTACGTACTAATAAAACATCTGCTCAAACAGTTGCAGTATTCGAAGAGGTTTATAGTGATCCTGATATACCCCTCATATATCCGGAAGATTTGATGACAGATAAAGGTAGTGAATTTCTTGGACATTGTGAAAAATTTTATCCAAAACATAATATAACACATATTCAGGCCGAAACTAAAGAAAGTATGGGCATTATTGAAAGGTTTAATCGTACATTAATTGAGAAGGTATTCCCTATCCAATATGCTCAGGAAATGTTACTACCTTTGACAGAAAGATCTCGAGAGATATCTAATATCCTTCATCCTATCCTTAATAAAATCAATAATTCACCAACTCGCTTGATTGGTATGTGTCCTGCTAATGCTATAAAAAAAAAGAATGTATATGCTAAACCTTCAAAACCTCGCAAAGGTCCTATGGGCTTTAATGAAGTACGGTTAACTCTTAATGATTTAGTGCGCTATTTACTTAAGCCTGGTGAACTTGAAGGTGGGAGAAAAAGAGCTGGCGATTTAATATGGAGTCCTGAAATTTATCATATCAAGAGATCACAAGTACAAAAAAATCAACCGGTTTTATATTGGCTGGAAGATGATAATTGTAATGGGCCTAAGAGATCATTTGTTAGAGAAGAATTGATGGTGATACCTTATGATACTGAATTACCTCCTCAATGGATATTCAAGAGTTAAGGAAATCATCTGCTTCTTCTTCGATTTCTTCATTAGTAGCAAAGTGATTTTTGGCTAATTGATAATATAAATCATTAAGTTTTAATACAGCTTGAAGAATTTTTGGTTCATTTTTATACCATTCCTGATATTGTCTTTTCATTGATATATATTTATCCTCATTAGGGTATATTCTCTTTGCATTGTTCAAGATATAAATATCTGGATCTTCAGCTTGATGTAATTCAGTATATCGCTTTTTATAATTTTGCATAAACTTGCCATCCTTTTCTTTTTTATAATAGACGCCTGCTTTTACTATATTAACTATAGCTTTTTTGATATCTTGCCAGGTTGGAATAGAGGACTTAGTATCTGTAGATACTTGATTGATATTTTGGGTACTAGTTGACATTTGAATATGTGTTATGTTTTGATTATCTAAAGTTTTGTATATTAATAATATAAAAGTTTTTGTTTAAATAAATATTTCACTATATATAAAAAATGATTGGTGAATATACTTGTCCATTCTATCATAATTCCGGTGAAGTTTGTGGAAGAACTTATATGAGATCTGAAGGGTGTAGTTATCATTGGAAAGCTAAAAGAAGAGTACCTTGTACTGATTGTGGAAAGCCGACTGGTTCATCTTCTGGCCGATGTCCATTGCATATTAGGGGGTATTATGTGATCCAGTACTATCATAGGTTACATGCTAATGCAGACAAATGGGTAGATCCTCATAGACTCAATAATTCTGGATGCTGTATAAATCACTGTTTAATCAAAGATGGATTTAATCATTGTATTCATTGTTCCTCAGAAAATAATGATGAAAAACATGAACTTAGTTTTCAGGTTTGATAACAATGTGCGAGTTGGTAACCTTCCATCAATTTTTGGGAATACTTTTCCCTATATATCTGATTTTTAGGAAGACTTTTGTGCTATGTATCCGATTTTTGGGAATACTTTTTTATTAGACTTAGCTATATATCAGTACTATAATAGATTACATGCTAGGGCTTCAAAAATAGATCCTAGATAAGTGAAAAACCTGGTCCAAATTTTGTTACGAAATTTTGTTACCCTTTGAGATATATGATTACATTTTTTGTTACCCTTTGATATATATAATACGAAATTTTGTTACCTATGATTACATTTTTTGTTACCCTTTGGTATATATGGTATGAAATTTTGTTACCCTTTAAGGTGTATGGTCACATTTTTTGTTACCCTTTGAGATGTATAGTCACATTTTTTGTGCCAGAAAAGTAGTGAAGAATCGGCTTTAGATTGAATTCTACTATAACAAATAATATTAGTATGCAATTTAAGCTTGCCAAGCTGGAAAAAAAACAGGATCGATATTCATTTCATTCATATCTTCACCGTGATTTTTTTCTTTTTAAATAGCAAGCTGTATATCATAAAAAATTGATATCCTTTTTGATATGAATTTGATATTTTGGTTGTGTTCTAGATATAAAAAAAATGATATGCTAAATGATGATGGATTAGCTTTTTGATATGCAAAATTACTATTGCTGTGCCAGAACCATCAAAATTTCCCTACTGGATTGGTCGGATTTTTGCCCAATCAGTCCCCTGTCCTATAGATTAAAATTATCACATGATTATATATATCTTTGTCAGCAATATGGCCAATAAGAAAAAAGTCATAAAATGGTTCAGATTTTGTTTGTATGTTTTGTATAAATTAATTCATAAATTCTCTGTTTCTCTAAATTTTTGTTTGACCAACTGAACTTGTTATCTAAATCAAATTTATTTAATGAGAGGTATATCATACAAAGCACCAGCTATCAGTGATCAATTCCCATGTGGTAACAGCCAAGCCTGGTCTGAGAGGAAGATAGGGAAAGTATTGTCCAAAGCCTTCCAACATGTTTAAGACTGTTTCACCTGTGGAGAAAAAAATCTATGGTGCTGAATTGTGCTTAATTGCACCGTTTTGCATGTTTGTGATAGGAAATTTTAATTAAATCTGATACCTGTGATCAACATCAGATTTATTATTCATAAGGAACCATAATTGATTGGGGTGTCTCACATCATATGATTTACAAACATAGTTGATCACATATATAAATTTGGTGCTTCGTAGTAGAGAATAAGTAATTAATTCCGATTTGATTTTTTATAATTTATTATTGTGTGCCAAAAAACATTGCTTCGCTTATTCGAATAATAGATGTATTAACTTCTTACTTTGATAAAAAAAAACAAGAAATCTTGTCAAGATCGCTCATAGAAAAATACTTAATTAATATATGTCAAGTACGTAAGTGCCATAAGTCTTTAGACTTGTCCCATATGGGCCCGATCTGCAATAATATACTGGATCATCCATATAAAATTAGCATATGTAAAAAGTTATCTGAACAAATCATTACGCGAGTTCATTTAGTGATTGTATTTTATTCTCCACAATCATTGCGGAGGAAAATTACCATATATACTTATTTGATAGTAATAATAATGATAATAATGATAATAATAATGATAATAATAATAAAATCTACCTAGCTTGTCAGTGCGTCAAATCTAATTCGGTGTAGGAGATTTTGTTATATGGATCAACACAATTGTCTTTTAGCACGAATGTAACTCATGCTAATATTACACATATTCTGTAATGCGTCATCGTTATTCTCAGAAGGTTTTGATCTAATTTTAGACTGCGGATGGTGATGGGAGAAATATAAGATAAGTCAACTTCTCTACTTCTATTTCATAACTGTAACACCTAATCAAAAAAATCGATCAAAAATATATTTAAAAATCTATTTAAAATCTATTTAAAAATCTATTTAAAAAGCTATTTAAAAATCTATTTAAAAATGTCTATCGATATAATTCATGATTTTTTCTTTTTGACTTTCATCGCACCATATGTAATCATGATATTTATGCGCATCTCGTATAAGCAACAAAGCGTGGATCCAGCTACAAAAAACATTGAAAAAGCTATTTTAGCGCTCAATAATGAAATCAGTAAAATGTGCACTGAATCAGAATGGAAAAGTGAAACCCAGAGTCTAGGTAAATTTATTGCAAAGCAATGGCACTTACGTGCCTGATAACCTATCTTATGGTGCGAGTGAACTCGCTCATTCCAGAATTTATACTAACGAGTCTAACATTACAGGTCGCGCCTCTATTACAAGCCATAATAGATCGGAATATCCAGATGAAACCGAAGCTACCTGGGTTGAATTTACCTACCTCTTCGACGAAAGAAGAAAAAGAGAAGGGCGTTTCCCCGCTACAATGTACAATGTCTTATCTGAAGAAATTAGACTTGATCCTGCGACGTTATCTGGATTTTATCGCCACCAATAAAACCGCATGTTACAACATTAGATAAAATCGAAGCTTGGGTCGATAAAGAAGGGAAAAAGAAAGACAAGCCCGTTAGTAGTAGTAGTAGTAGCGGTAGAAACAAAAATAATCTTATAATTACTAGTACTGAATAATCGCGAGCCCAAAGTACAGGGATGCACATTACATGGCCTTGGAGTCGTGCATTATATGCGCTTTCACATCCCTCCCATGCAAGTTCGCGTTTATTTCTATTTTTCTATATCAAATATCATTAAAAATCATTATTATTATATATCAAATATTACAATAAAAAATCGTGATATCTATTTGCTATTTTTAAAAAAAATTTACGTATTTCTTGTTCGATTAAATGTAATTATCTATACCGATATTTGTGTCTTTGAGGAATATTCTCTCGTTTAATCCATGGCCCTGAACTTCTGCGATCCACTTTTTAAGTGTATACTTACCTCCAATAAAATTCCTGACCGTAACTTCTTCGTAAAAATTGGAAGAAAGTCCGTAAATATATTTTACAGGATCTTTCTTAAACACGGGTATGAAATAGTTGAGTGTCTTTTCTACGCTTTACGGAGCACAAAGTGCTCTATTTTTTCTAATCGTATAGCAATGTAATAGTAATAGTAAAGAAGAAATTCAAATTTGATATAGTAATAGGCGACCGTTCTGGTAGCCAAAATTTTAACTCATGCAATTATTGATTGACCAATTGACCAATCAAAATCGTGAATTTGATAACGTAAAAATAAATGTTGGTTTGACTCATTTCGTCAACAATCACTTCACTAACAATTGTTTCGTTAACAAATGGTTTGAATTTAAGAAATTGGAAGCAACCACGTAACAAACCTTTGAAATAGTCTAATAAATTAATTGTACTATATACTCGAGAATGTATTTAAAGGGCTTGGTTGAAGAATAATTCTCTTCCTAACTCTTCTCTTGGCCATATCTCTCGATATAATCAAAATAATCTTAATATAATGAATTTTGATGAAATGGTTGTAAACATAATTAATATTTAAGATATATAATTAAGATAAAACATGAACGATATATAAAAAAATTAAACAAATTTATTTAATAAAATCAAAATTTACAACCCAAAAAATGTTTTTTTGGATATTCTAATAAAATTTCCATTGTTGCATTATTTATTGCTGATTCAATGTTACCCATATCATCACCAACTGTATTTCGTTATTTTCGATAAACTCATTTTCATTTAATCTTTTCGTCAAATTTTCTTTTAGTGCGCTAACATTTTTTTTTTTGATTTCTAATTGAAGATATTCCAAGATATCAAACATTTAGATTGGCACCTTTGTAGACAATGATTGTGATAACCATGTCCGCACGTGAATATATACACTACAATTATTCAAATTAGTATTAGTATAGTTAGTGTAATCACAATACACGTAATTGTAAAAAATGTTTCTAGATGGTTTCCTGGAAGTAACAAAGCCTCTTGGAAGGTGACGATTGGTTGTTTCGTAAATTAAAGAAGGCAACTTGTATGAGTTAATACCATTAGATGAAGTTTTAGTAATCAAAGGATACTGATTTCGTGCTTAATATATCTTTGTAAACACATCTAAAAGCAATACAGCACACTTTCAAGAAAGTGTGTGCAATTGCTTCAGTGTATATGGATATTTCATAGAATCTATGAAATGTTGTCGAAAGTGTTATCTTTTCAATACTAAAAAATAAACACGCCTCCTTTTCAGTTGTTGTGCAGTGAAAAACTTAGCCGTATGTCATCAAATAATGCTGTGAATGATTTCTACAGAATTGTCACTTAAAGAGGCGAGATAATTAGTAAACATATCAACCATTGGATGATTTGTCTCCATACAATAAAAGACACCAGAAAAAAAAATTAAAGGTGCACACTTATAATTTCTTCAATCAAACCGAAGAAAAAGATTACTCCAGCAATGCATACAAGATTCCTCATAAGCCAGCCAGTTAAGTAAAAAATTATTTCTGAGAAAAATGAAGCGTGGTCATCTTGAACAGAACTGGTATCTTTATTATTTTCATGACTTTACCACGACCTCTACCAACTGCTATAACTTCATGATTTTCGCAACTTCCATGAATTCCATGACCTCCATGACCTCCATGACCCCCACGACTTCCGCAATTTCCACAAAGCCCCGCATCACGTAAAATCTGATTGGTTCCCACAACAACATAATCACGTTATCCAATTTAACATTCAATACTGAGTGATAAAAAAATTTTTTCATGCAGTCTAAGTAACACCTCTTATTTCTCTGATCAACATCATCCAATTGCATATTCTCTCTTTTGGAACTGTCCATGCAAAAATATTAATCCTTTTTTACAAAAAAATAACTTACCTTCAAGTGAATAAGAGAGAAAAGTGATTGATGAAATGAGCTGAGGTAGAGTTTCTATTATGCAAAAACTAAATTTTGACCCTTGTTAAAAATGCCCTTTGAAAGTTTTAATGGTCAAAGCCCGCACTACATAAAATCTGATTGGTTCCCACAACAACATAATCACGTTATCCAATTTAACACTAAATACTGACTGATATATGATAAAATGTTTTTTTTATGCAGTCTAAGTATTTCTTTGATCAATATTATCTAATCGAATGTTTCTCTCTTTTGGAACTGTCCATGGAAAAATGTTAATCCTTTTTTGCAAAAAAGAACTTATCTTCAAGCAAAGAAGAGGAAAAGAAATTGATTGAAGAAATGGAATTTTAATGGATGAAAAAGTTGAAGCAGCTGAGGTAGAGTTTCTATTACACCAAAACTAAATTTTGATCCTTGTTAAAAATGCCTTTGCAAGTTTTAATGGTCAAAGCTCATGCCACGTAAAATCTAGTTGGTTCCCACAACAATGTAATCACGTTATCCAATTTAACAATCAATACTGACTGATATATGATAAAATTTTTTTTAAAGCAGTCTAAGTAACACTTCTTATTTCCCTCATTTGGGACCGCCCATGCAAAAATGGTAATCCTTTTTTACAAAAAAGAACTTATCTTCAAGTGAAAGCAGCGAAAGAATTTTCTAAATTTTAATGTTTAAAGTTCGCACTACATAAAATCTGGTTGGTTCCCACAACAATGTAATCACGTTATCCAATTTAACACTCAATACTGACTGATATATGATAAATTTTTTTTTAAAGCAGTCTAAGTAACACTTCTTATTTCCCTGATCAATATCATCCAATCGAATATTTCTCTCGTTTGGGACCGCCCATGCAAAAATGGTAATCCTTTTTTAACAAAAAAGAACTTATCTTCAAGTGAAAGCAGCGAAAGAATTTTCTAAATTTTAATGTTCAAAGTTCGCACTACATAAAATCTGGTTGGTTCCCACAATAACGTAATCACGTTAACCAATTTAACACTAAATACTGATGTAAGATAAAAATTTTTTTAAGCAGCCTAAGTAACACCTCTTATCTCCCTGATCAATATCATTCAATCGAATGCTTCTCTCTTTTGGGACCGCCCATGAAAAAATGGTAATCCTTTTTTACAAAAAAGAACTTATCTTCAAGTGAAAGCAGCGGAAGAATTTTCTATTATGCAAAAACCAAGTTTTGATCCTTGTTAAAACGCCCTTCCAAGTTTTAATAGTTCACACCATGTAAAATCTGATTGGTTCCCACAATAACGTAATCACGTTAACCAATTTAACACTAAATAATGATGTAAGATAAAATTTTTTTTAAGCAGACTAAGTACCTCTTATTTCTCTGATCAATATCATCCAATCGAATGTTTCTCTCATTTGGGACCGCCCATGCAAAAATAGTAATCCTTTTTTACAAAAAAGAACTTATCTTCAAGTGAAAGCAGCGAAAGAATTTCCTATTATGCAAAAACTAAATTTTGACCCTTGTTAAAAACGCACTTGCAAGTTTTAATAGTTCTCACCATGTAAAATCTGATTAGTTCCCACAATAACATAATCTCGTTAACCAATTTAACACTAAATACTGATGTAAGATAAAAATTTTTTTAATCTAAGTAACGCCTCTTATTTCCCTGACCAATATCATCCAATCGAATGTTTCTCCCATTTGGGACCGCCCATGCAAAATGGAAATCCTTTTTTACAAAAAAGAACTTATCTTCATGTGAGGAAGTGAGAAAAAAGTGATTGATGAAATGGAACTTCTATGGATAAAAAAGGTAAAACCAAATTTTGACTATTGCTAAAAACGCCCTTTGAAGTTTTAATCAAAGTTCGCACCATGTAAAATCTGGTTGGTTCCCACAATAACGTAATCACGTTAACCAATTTAACACTAAATAATGATGTAAGATTAAAATTTTTTTTTAAGCAGACTAAGTACCTCTTATTTCTCTGATCAATATCATCCAATCAAATGTTTCTCTCATTTGGGACCGCCCATGCAAAAATAGTAATCCTTTTTTACAAAAAAGATCTTATCTTCAAGTGAAAGCAGCAAAAGAATTTCCTATTATGCAAAAACTAAAAAACTCACTTGCAAGTTTTAATGGTCAAAGTTCTAAATAATGATGTAAGATAAAATTTTTTTTTATGCAATCTAAGTAACGCCTCTTATTTCCCTGACCAATATCATCCAATCGAATGTTTCTCCCATTTGAGACCGCCCATGCAAAAATGGAAATCCTTTTTTACAAAAAAGATCTTATCTTCATGTGAGGAAGTGAGAAAAAAGTGATTGATGAAATGGAACTTCTATGGATAAAAAAGGTAAAACAAAATTTTGACTATTGTTAAAAACGCCCTTTGAAGATTTAATCAAAGTTCGCACCATGTAAAATCTGATTGGTTCCCGCAAGAACGTAATCACGTTAGCCAATTTAACACTGG